GGTCACCATAGCGCCCTGTACGCACCATCAAGTCAAGACCAAACACTGACTGTGGTAGGTTTACAAAATGTTTGTTTGGAAAATACAATTCTAATATTTCGACAAAATTAAAATGAATTTCAGTACCAATTAATCGCATTTACAACATCATTAAATTTAAACGTCAGTAGCAAAACAAGTGATAGAATAATTCCATACATATCATTCAACTATGTTATACAAACTATTTTTGTTTTAAATAATGATGTTCATAAAAATCATTCTCGTTACTTGCAAAGTCTCACGCAGCGACATTGTGGTCAAATGGAGGTGTTCCAGGTGAAAAGTTAATGATTGGTATCGGTACGTACGGACGAAGCTTTACATTATCGACTTCAGCATCAGGTATAGGGGCACCAGCTGCTGGGGCTGGTACAGCAGGAACGTACACTAGTGAGGCAGGCTTTTTGTCTTACTATGAAGTAAGTACTCTTTTACTACTTTCTCATACAGTCGTATGCCTTTATTATTTAAATGATATGATTAAATAAGCAAATCAATTTATTGACGTAAACTATCTAACTTTAAAATACTTGGAAGGTTATAACTTATATTAAGAGCAATAAGTTGTAATTCCCTTACCTAATGGTGATTATATATTTACAGATATGTGACATGCTACAAACTGGTGGCACTGTTGTACATGACGACAATCTACAATCTCCATATGCTTACAATGGTAACCAATGGGTTGGATATGACGATACTGAAAGTATAGCAAGAAAGGTTAGTACGAGTTTTAAAATTAATTCAATGAATATAAAATAAACAAACTATTCCATTATTTATATGCTATTTTAAATATTAATTCATTATTCATATGTGATTTGGTATTTATTTGAGATTAAATTGTTTATAATTTCCCCATTTTTCCAGACACAATGGATAAAAGATAACGACTATGGTGGTGTTATTGTGTGGGCACTCGATCTTGATGACTTTAGTAATAGTCACTGTAGTGAAGGACCATATCCTTTATTAAATGCTATTAAACAAGGCTTGGAAAACGACGATGATGCTAATAACTCTACTGAGGAACCGATCATTTCGGAGATAACTGAAGAACAAGTGACTGAGCAAACAGCCTCAACAACTGCCAGTGAATCTGAAGACACAGTAGAAGGTATTAATATGAATTATTTATTAGAAATTTCATATTTAAATGAAATTATATAGGCCTACCCTTTATTTCATTTTTATTTATTTTTTTAATAGATTCTTCATCGTCATATAAGAGGATATGTTACTACACTAATTGGGCTCAGTATCGTTCTGGCAACGCGCAATACACTCCAGACGATATAGACGCGTATATTTGTACACATATTGTTTACGCATTTGCCTTTATGAACGATCAACATGAGCTGATCCCTTTTGAATGGAATGATGAAGACACTGATTGGTCTCAAGGAATGTATTCTAAGGTATATTTCGATTAATATCATACTGCAAATTGTTGTATCGATTCTTTGCCTGTTATAGTGATTTAAATTACACCAAATCTCAATAATATATATATACTGTAATTATTTTTAAAAAATGAATAAATATATTTTAGGTAAATGCACTGAGGGAAGTAAACAACGATTTGAAGGTTCTGTTGGCCGTGGGAGGCTGGTCGTTTGGTGTTACTAAGTTTTCAGCTATGGTTTCTACGTCGGCCAATCGTGCACATTTCATTTCGACATCCATAACTTATCTGAGAGACAGAAATTTTGACGGACTTGATTTAGACTGGGAATATCCAGCGGCACGTGGAAGTCCCGCTATTGACAAAGAGCGTTTTACTTTACTTGTACAGGTAATGTAGTCCAAAATGTTGATATTTATTTCAAGATATTTGTAACTAGTATATAATAGACTCTTTGATAACAGTTGCAATTTAATTTTGATATATAGTACCCTTGATGAGCCCATAAAATTATATGGTAACAATATAAATACTCAATACTCAAATAAATAAATAAATAAATATTAAATACAGTTATCTAACATAGGCCTAATTGTTAATATTCGATAGGAGCTACGCCAGGCATTTGATGCGGAATACGATGGGAGTAAAGAAAAGTTACTGCTTTCCGCAGCAGTAGCAGCCGGCGAAGACACTGCTACAAATGGGTACGAAATGGCAGAAATAGCAAAGTAAGTCTTTAACTTATGTTTATGTTAGTGTTGCAGCAATTCGAAATTAATACAATTATAAATTGGTTTATTTGTACACTTTTGAACATAAAAGAAAAAATACAGTAGATGCAAAAAAATCAATGTGAAATTCAAAGTGAGAATAAATTGAATATTTTTTGTGAGCAAAAATATTTGTTCGTCTTCCAGGCACTTAGATTGGGTGGGAGTGATGTCGTATGATTTACATGGTTCTTGGGAATCGCAGACCGGTCACCATAGCGCCCTGTACGCACCATCAAGTCAAGACCAAACACTGACTGTGGTAGGTTTACAAAATGTTTGTTTGGAAAATACAATTCTAATAATTCGACAAAATTAAAATGAATTTCAGTACCAATTAATCGCATTTACAACATCATTAAATTTAAACGTCAGTAGCAAAACAAATGATAGAATAATTCCATACATATCATTCAACTATGTTATACAAACTATTTTTGTTTTAAATAATGATGTTCATAAAAATCATTCTCGTTACTTGCAAAGTCTCACGCAGCGACATTGTGGTCAAATGGAGGTGTTCCAGGTGAAAAGTTAATGATTGGTATCGGTACATACGGACGAAGCTTTACATTATCGACTTCAGCATCGGGTATAGGGGCACCAGCTGCTGGGGCTGGTACAGCAGGAACGTACACTAGTGAGGCAGGCTTTTTGTCTTACTATGAAGTAAGTACTCTTTTACTACTTCCTCATGCAGTCGTATGCCTTTATTATTTAAATGATATGATTAAATAAGCAAATCAATTTATTGACGTAAACTATCTAACTTTAAAATACTTGGAAGGTTATAACTTATATTAAGAGCAATAAGTTGTAATTCTCTTACCTAATGGTGATTATTTATTAACAGATATGTGACATGCTACAAACTGGTGGCACTGTTGTACATGACGACAATCTACAATCTCCATATGCTTACAATGGTAACCAATGGGTTGGATATGACGATACTGAAAGTATAGCAAGAAAGGTTAGTACGAGTTTTAAAATTAATTCAATGAATATAAAATAAACAAACTATTCCATTATTTATTTGCTATTTTAAATATTAATTCATTATTCATATGTGATTTGGTATTTATTTGAGATTAAAATGTTTATAATTTCCCCATTTTTACAGACACAATGGATAAAAGATAACGACTATGGTGGTGTTATTGTGTGGGCACTCGATCTTGATGACTTTAGTAATAGTCACTGTAGTGAAGGACCATATCCTTTATTAAATGCTATTAAACAAGGCTTGGAAAACGACGAGAATGCTAATAACTCTACTGAGGAACCGATCATTCCGGAGATAACTGAAGAACAAGTGACTGAGCAAACAGACTCAACAACTGCCAGTGAATCTGAAGACACAGTAGAAGGTATTAATATGAATTATTTATTAGAAATTTCATATTTAAATGAAATTATATAGGCCTCCCTTTATTTCATTTTTATTTATTTTTTTAATAGATTCTTCATCGTCATACAAGAGGATATGTTACTACACTAATTGGGCTCAGTATCGTTCTGGCAACGCGCAATACACTCCAGACGATATAGACGCGTATATTTGTACACATATTGTTTACGCATTTGCCTTTATGAACGATCAACATGAGCTGATCCCTTTTGAATGGAATGATGAAGACACTGATTGGTCTCAAGGAATGTATTCTAAGGTATATTTCGATTAATATCATACTGCAAATTGTTGTATCGATTCTTTGCCTGTTATAGTGATTTAAATTACACAAAATCTCAATAATATATATACTGTAATTATTTAAAAAAAATGAAAAAATATATTTTAGGTAAATGCACTGAGGGAAGTAAACAACGATTTGAAGGTTCTCTTGGCCATGGGAGGCTGGTCGTTTGGTGTTGCTAAGTTTTCAGCTATGGTTTCTACGTCGGCCAATCGTGCACATTTCATTTCGACATCCATAACTTATCTGAGAGACAGAAATTTTGACGGACTTGATTTAGACTGGGAATATCCAGCGGCACGTGGAAGTCCCGCTATTGACAAAGAGCGTTTTTCTTTACTTGTACAGGTAATGTAGTCCAAAATGTTGATATTTATTTCAAGATATTTGTAACTAGTATATAATAGATTCTTTTATAACAGTTGCAATTTAATTTTGCCATATAGTACCCTTGATGAGCCCATAAAATTATATGGTAACAATATAAATACTCAATACTCAAATAAATAAATATTAAATACAGTTATCTAACATAGGTCTCTTATACACATCTAGAGGGGTATAAGAGACAGGCTTTACATTATCGACTTCAGCATCAGGTATAGGGGCACCAGCTGCTGGGGCTGGTACAGCAGGAACGTACACTAGTGAGGCAGGCTTTTTGTCTTACTATGAAGTAAGTACTCGTCTGTCTCTTATACACATCTAGATGTGTATAAGAGACAGCTGTAATATTTAAAAAAAAATGAATAAATATATTTTAGGTAAATGCACTGAGGGAAGTAAACAACGATTTGAAGGTTCTGTTGGCCGTGGGAGGCTGGTCGTTTGGTGTTGCTAAGTTTTCAGCTATGGTTTCTACGTCGGCCAATCGTGCACATTTCATTTCGACATCCATAACTTATCTGAGAGACAGAAATTTTGACGGACTTGATTTAGACTGGGAATATCCAGCGGCACGTGGAAGTCCCGCTATTGACAAAGAGCGTTTTACTTTACTTGTACAGGTAATGTAGTCCAAAATGTTGATATTTATTTCAAGATATTTGTAACCTGTCTCTTATACACATCTATTCTTACGCATGTTGTTGTGTTTACTGTTTTTGTTCGTAAAAAATCCAGGGCACACACGGTCTAAGCCA